GGACAAATTCTGAAAGGCTTTGTCCCAACCAAAAGTGTTTCCCCTAGAACTAGTCTGGTTCTCACTGGCCTCTTGACTTGGTTTGCTGGCCTTGGTATTCCTGCTAAGAATTCTGACCCTGCTACTTCTTCCAGTTCTGATAGATATTTTGAGCTAACAAAGATGGAATGTTGTGTTTTGGGGAAAGCAAGTCTTGTTCCTTCAGGTACAGGAATGTAAAGGGTACCATTCAGTGAGATGAATGTTATATGATCAAGTGATGATGTAATTTGATTGAAGATACTACCAAGCTACTGCAGATTTTGTGTGGATTTTTGAATGAATACTGCAGATCAAGGTGGCTGGGGATCATGGGAATTGCTTTCCAACACACCCAGAGGGCATCAGCTAAGGAAGCCTGGAAAACTGGGTAAAGTGTTTTATATATTCTGGAGCTTTGATTAGTCTCTTGCCCAGTAGATGGCAGGCTTAAGGACATAGGAGACTTTCTTACTTGCAAACACGAATATGAACAGGCACACTTAGTAAAAACAAAATGTTGACAAATTTCCAAATATGCCACCACGTTTGAAAAATAGACCTTTTAAAATGAACATTCTTCCACAAATAATTTCCATGCTTTAGTCAATGGGGGGAAAGCAATTCCATTTGAAAAAATATGTGCAGTAATGAATACTTCTCCTATTTGCATCAGCTGAAAAACAAGATGCAAACTGAAATGAGCTTCAAAGTGGTTTTGGGGTGTTTTTTTTTTTTGAAAATTTAGATGATCAAAAATGACTGGTTCTACCACCTGTAGATTAAAGCAGCAGGAGCAGAAGGGAGTACAGATACCGCAGAAAGGGAAGATTGTGACAGGGCATTTCAGAAGATGAAGCCTCTTTTGTTCATTGTGGTGATGCTTTGGACTACTAAGGGCCTTCACACTTCAGAACTTCAAGCCTGTTTCACTATAGCAAAGTAATTAGCTGGGAAGACAGTGAGAGTTGGACAATTAGTTTCCTTGTTTTTTTTGCATCAGGAATAAGGATTCAGGAATGGAGGATAGCAAAACCATTGAGTGGGATGCTAGAGGAGTCTACCATTGGTCTTGTTATGTTTATTGGGTGTGAATAGGAATGTCTTAAGATCTGCAAATGTGTTGGTGTGATATTTTGAATTTCCAGAATAGAACATGGCTCCATGAGAGGTCTTTTGACTTCAGGAGTGAGAAATTCCCTCACATTATTTCTTACAATTCCCACAGAATAGGTGTAAAAGAAATTGGACAGATATATACTGAAGAATAGAATGGCTCATTTGATTAAGATGGACATCCTGTGCGTTCTTTACCAGCTACTAAGCCCTGTTGAACACAGTGGGACTTACATCTGAGTAAGCAAGCTTAAGAGTGCCCTGCCGGTCAGTCTAGCTGTAAAAAACCTTGCAAAGGTAGATGCAAGGTGTGTCTTGGTTTATTTCTGGGTACACATTTTGCTTTCTGTCTGCAGCAGAAGTATCTCCTGCTGCCGCAGCAATACGTATGGGAACATCAGCTGGCTTGATTTCATTGCAGCTCAAATGGCGGGGCCACCAGTGACATATCAGACCCTTTGAAGATTGCACCTATGTATGTATGGCTCTGCAAGGGGTACCTCTCTTAGATTATGCAGTGCAGCTTCTCGGGGCAGCAAAATGTTCTGATAGGGACAAAAGAAGTTACCTTCTACTGAATTGGATCCTTGGTCATCTACTAGCTTAGCATCATAGACAGAGATTGGCAGTGGCTCTTCAGTGTTTCAAGTAGGATTTTTTTCCTGTCCTACATGGAGATGCTGCATATATAAGGTGTCCTCTGAGATATGATACAGGATTTTCCATGTGCATGGGATCTTTATGTAGCCAACATGGCACCATCCATGCACATGAGGTGTTGGACTCTGAGGATATGTAAATGCAGAGGCCTGCACAAGTTCAAAACAGCATTAGAAAAAAGCCTAATGGGAGGATCCCCAAAACAGTCCAGAGAGAACAGGAATTTCTCTGCAAGCAATGGATACTGAATGAATTAATACCTAGGGAGGCTGTGGGCTCTCCCACGCTGGAGGCATTCAAGATGCAACTGGACAGCCATGTGAGAGGGATGGTTCAATTTGGTGCCCTGCACTGAGCAGGGGATCAGACACTTTGGCCCCTTGCAACTCTATTGTTCTATGGTTCTGTGCATGGTTGGAGTGCAGGGAGCAGGATAGGGATGGACAGAAAACTTAGGGAGTGAGGATAGAATAAAGGATTCTATAAAAGGTGCAGCTGGCTTTTGCAATCCTGTCTGAACTGCAACTATTTATTGCTGTCCTACTTGTCATTATGTTCAATTTTTTAAATTAAGTTAAGCAGGAAAATGGAACAGCATTTCCCATGCCTTTCTCAATAATTGCACCATTGTGCCACTCTTCTGGAAACTCAATAGTGTTATTTCACAAAAGGGAAGGGATATGGTGCATGTATTCAAAAGCCAAAAACATCGTAAGGTTTTGCATTATAGGAACTGAGTGTTTATCCTTTCAGTGTTGTAATAGTAGCCTTTTAACTGTCAGAAGGGTGCAGAGAATTGATTTGCACTGATGATGCATTAATTTCCAGGAACCAGGCAGATGATTTAAAAGAGACTTTATCAGTAATTATTAAGGCAATTTCAATACAAAATTTATCTGTATAATGACTGCCTTCCCAAAAGGTGCAACTTCTGGGCGTTGCCAAAACGTAGGTTTAAAGCAGGGGTCCTCAAACTTTCTCATCAGGGGGCCAGTTGAAAGGTGCCGCTGCTGGGCGCGGGCCAGAAAGGTGGTGCCGGTGGGGCGCACGGGCCGGCGGGGGGTGCGGGGGGTGTGGGCGAGCTGAGGCGGGGGCACAGGGCACATGGGCAAGGAGCAGGTGGGCGGGCGCGGCAAGGCAAGGCGGGGGTGGAATGCACCACGATGCAGTGCCGGGCGCGTGATGCAGCAGCTTGCTCACTTGGAGATTGTTTTCTCCGAGTGACTCCAAAATGCTCTCCTCATGAGGCAGGCAGTGGGTGCATGTGGCGTGTGCACGGTGCATTGAAAACCTCTGAGGCAGGCCAGATAAATGGCCATGGCGGGCCAGATCCGGCCCCTGGGCTGTAGTTTGAGGACCCATGGTTTAAAGGAAGCATTAGCTGTGTTACACTTCCAGCAATTACAGCACAATCCTATGCAACTGGATTGTAGGTTTGCAACTGAGTTGTAGGGGTTTTTTTCTTTCTAAACATGCACAGGATCCATCTTTAGCCCTTAGCCAACTTAGCCAAATCAGTATTAGCCAAATCTTTTCTTTAAGTGATGGTGTCCAATAGACACAAAGCAAAAGCTTTTGCTGAATAAGACACAACCTGAGATTCATAGATGCATTAGTTACAGGCACCAAGGTGGCAATTAATTGATTAGGTAATCCATTTAGTTAGGCGATCCATTTCCTTATTTGTTTCTTGCTTATGATGCTGCATATCATATTTATTAATAATTGGTATTTAGTGACATGAGGTAAACATTGAAACCGTAAAAGCAGCAGGGCCGAACCCAGATTCTAAAAAAGTTGCAATGGAAAGTATTGCCTTTCAGTGAGCCTTTGGCAAATTTTTAGCCTGCAAAATAGAGAACAGAAACTCCTCATAAGCAACCACCAATTGATCTAAGGAAAAAAATGGCAGAGCAATGGGAAGGCTTGGGCTCAGCTCCTGGCATAAGTAGGGAAGGCTGGGAAAGACCCACCTCTGAAGGCCTGGGGAGAGCTGATGCTCAATAGACCAATGGCCTGACTCAGAGTAACATGTCTTCCCATGGAATCCTTACTTACTTCCTATATTACCTTGTACCTTTTTAACCTAAGTATTGTTCTCCCTCTCCCATAATACTAGAACCTAATGGGTTATTGCATGAATGCTTGATGGAAGATTCAAGACAGATAAAAAGAACGGCTTCTTCACACAGTGCGTAGTTAAACTGTGGCATTCACATGTGATTCACATATGATTGCCATAAATTTAGATGGCTTTAAAAGGGGATTGGACAAGTCCATGGAGGGGAAGGCTATCAACGCATGCTAGTAGTGTGCCTTGCGGCCCGAGTGTACTCATATCCTGCTTATGGATTTCTATGGGCAGCTGGTTTGCCACTGAAGATACAGAATACTGGGCTAGATAGTCCATTAGTCTGATCCAGCATGAGTCTTCTTATATTTTTAAAAACTGTACAAAACAGACATTTCCTGATCAAGCACTCTCCAGATGGGTTAGACTGCAACAGTTATCCACAACCATCAGTCAATTTGTACTGCAGTTCCCACTGACCACAGCTGCAACGCCCCCATTGGGCCAGTTGTCAGATAACATGCAGGAAGAGTTCGCTATCAACGTTCATTGTGGCTAGGGATGATGGGAACAGTAGTCCAACCGGAGAGCAGTTGGGAAAGTCTACTATAAATAACAAAGGGGTTTGCTCCCCGTTTTGTCCCGCCCGTCCCCAGGTAGATGCTCGTCATGGGGTCTTTTTGACCTTGGTTTGCCATTAATTAGAATGGAATAGTAGTAGAGTTGGAAGGAGTCTATAACCCCTTGCTCTGCTTCCACTCATCCGGCTGCAGGCCCGCGCTTTTACAGCTTAGCAAAGGTGACTTGACGTGCTAGCTTGATGGAAAGCTATAGGGGCCGGCATTCGACATTCATTCCTAGAGGAAGGACAGAGGGAAAAGAGCTGACGAGGGAAGGTGAAAAGAAGCGGACCCGGCTGCCCTTCCTGACGCACCTCCGAGCGCGCCCCTCGGAGGAAGAGGGCGGGCTTTCCGCGCAGACATGTGCCGCCGCGGCCTCTTGATCTCCTCCGAGGGCCGGACGAGCGGGCGGGGAGGCGTGGCCTGAGGAAGTGACTTCAGCCCGCGTTGGCCGCGGCTATTGGAAAAACAGGAGAGGGCAGGCGGGCGAGAAGCTTCTCCGGGCGCGCGCGCCCGTCCGCCCGTTCCCTTACGCCGGAGACGGCTCCTCTCGCGCCGGTCATGGCAGCAGCCACGGCGGGGTCTACCGTGAGGGTCTTCCTGGGAGCAGCCGTGGGGAAAGCTGGCGCGGTCCCTGCTGCTCCTGCTGCCGCCGCCTCGGTTCGGCTATTCGCTGGCGGCGGCGGCTTAAAAGCAAATCCTTATTGCACGCTGGCTCCACGGCAGCGGCAGCAGCCCTCCGCTCCCCCTCCAGACATGAAGGACTACCTGTGGAAGCGCTATAACGAGGCCAAAAAAGTGACGAAAGGTGAGGGGAACTGGGGGCGAGGGCGAGGATTTGCTCAGCGGTAACAGCGCGCCTTCTCCTTCTCCACCGCCCCCATGAGGTCTCCTGCCGCACCGTTGGGATCCCTTCAGTTTTTGGGCTAGAAAGAGGCGGCGCCTCCGGCCAGTTGCGACCTGCTATTTTGTCCTCCCGCAGCCCCCCCTCCCCCCGCCGCTTGATCTTCTCTCCCTTTTGGTCCCTTGCGTGGCTCCTTTGCGCTCCTAAGGATTGCTGGTGGGGTGTTTCGGGGAGATCCCTTTCCAGTCTCAAAATGGGGCACAGGAGCCCTTCTTGGCGAAGGGCATCTGGTTACGCCAGTGCGTCGAACCCAGAGCGAGCTTAGTGTAAAGCAGAGAGGCAGCTGGGCTGACCTCAAGCTTGCGGAATTTGCTTACCTGCATCCTGAGTTCCATCAAGCAGGTGCAAAAAGAACACAACATTAAAGAATTCAGGATTGGGAACCCTGCTGATTACTGTGAATCATCCAGAGATCCATCCTTAGATTCTGCCCACCCTTTGGTGTAAAGGGATTCTTTTAAAAATTGTATGGAGTTGAGAGGCTCTGTGTTCAAGTTGCTGCATGGCAGTGAAGGTGACCTTGGTCAGGGCACTCAGCCTAATCTGCATATAGGGCTGCTATCTGAGGACTCGATTGATGATACAGCATTTGATGATGACCTGAGCACTCTGTGGGCTGCAGAATGTGCAGAACTGGCAAGAAGACTCACCTGCTCAGGTGAAACCTGCCATATGGTGTAAGTATTGGCTCCTGGTCAGTGGTGTGGTTTTTAAAAGGATGAATGTGGTGATTGATTAAAAACTGGTTCTTGTTTTGGAAGCCAGTGAATTTCCCATACTGTGGTTGTGTGAATAGGTTGCAAAGACACACTGAGGTGGGAGGTAGACTCCAGATCAGATCAGATTGTGTTATGAAAAAAACCTGTGTTGAGATCTCCTGAATTCTCTCCAGTCTTTCCTTCTAAGTAGGATTGGACTACCTTTTCATGTGTGTCTCTCTGTGTTGGTTGGTAGTTTAATTCAGGAAGATGTATGTGCTTGCACACACGTATGGAGGGAAGGGGGGAGAAATTGTTAAATATTTTAGTCTCTTAGTATCACTTTTCCATTAAAAATCAGAGATCCAGTGAGGGCTTGGAAATGGCTTTTATTTAAAACAAAACACTATTGACAAAATTGGGATATCTGTGCATTGCATTTGTTTTGGTCCCAAGGTGCCTTTTCTGTTGCTCAGCAGAAGACATAACATTTTTCTAGTAACCATTAAGGATGACTGCAGGCAAATCCAGAAGAATAGAACAGAGACTGTGCTGAAAGGGGAAAATAATAAAAGTCAGAGGCATTTGAATAAGAGGCATTGAGTGGGTTCTCCAAAATGGCAAGTTACACTTTGGAGCAGTGTGGCTTGTTTGCCCCAGGGGCTTGGTGTACCGGACTGTGGATCAGATACATTGCAGCTCCAGCTGGGGACACTGTGGGTGCACTGAGGTTTCCTTTGCTCCCCATGGGACCCTCTGCAAACCATTTTGGTTTTGTCAGAACTCGTCATCTTATTTTCAAAGCATTTGTTTTTAGGGAGTGGAGTTGCAAAAGCCACCTTTGGGCATCCACAAACTACCTCCCCCAAGCCTCAGTGATACCTTGGAGGAGCTGTCTGTGGCTATCTTCCTTTTTAAAAAAACATTTTACTATGATTATGTGCACAAATAATTTGACTCATTATTTCTTCTAGCTCAAAGTGTCCTGTTTCCACAGATGGAGCATTAAAAAGGGTGGACTTTGGGGTAGGTGCTAGCCAAGGAGGGTGGCTTCTGGCCAAAACTAGCAGTCGCCTGCCCTCTCAAGTGCCTAGTGCAGGCTACAAGTGAGTTTTTTCTCCTCTCCTGCACTGCTGTCAGATATGGCAGGCTCGGTTTGGATAGTTCCTTCTTAGGTGAATTTGTGCTCTGAGGAAAGAGGTTCTTTCCGCACTCTCTGCTATCTCCTAGTTCTTGGGAGGAGATCAGGTGTCCAAAGTTGCCTCCCAGGTACTGGTATCAAGGGGAAAACCTGCAGAACTAGAGGGGAATCCTTGGGGCAAGAGTCAAGGCTTCATTTGGCATGGGTCAAATGGTCCTACCCGTTTCCCCACTGAGATCTCCCCCCCCCCCAGCCCACATTGAAGTCTTGGCGGCTTGCCATTTCATGTGAACGCAGTCATTAGAACTTTTTTTTAAAAAAGAAAGGGTAGTTCTTTATTTACTTTGTGTGGAAGGAGAAATTTTCAGGATGCTTGAAGAGTTTATTTAAAAATAAGAGAGAGACTGTTTAGAAGAATGTTCATGTTAGCAATCTGGAAATGAACATGCACTGCTGTTCCTGGTGTGCGGCTGAAGATGTTTAGGCCTAAATGAATCACATTGCATTTTTCAGGGTGGTGGGATCGGTTGTTGTAGCATTGACGGTTCACTTGGTGGCAGACTTGGGTTTGCTATTGTGTAGTAGTTAAGAGCACAGGACTGGGACTCAGGTGATCTGAGTTCTAGTTCCTGCTCAGCCATGGAGCCAACTGGGTGACTATGGGCCTGTCAAAGACTCCCAGTCCAATCTACCTCACAGAATTGTGGTAGTAGGGATAAGACTGTGGGCAGGAGTAGGTGAATGATATAAGCTGCTTTGAGTTTTTGTAAGAAAAAGGTGGAATGTAAACCTACAAAATAAATAACTGTGCTGGAAAAGTTATGATTATAATGTGCAAGTATGGTGTAGTGGTAGAGTGTTGGATGTGGGTTCTAGCCTCCACTTGGCCATGAAGCTCACTGGATGACTTTGAGCCAGTCACTCCCTCTGAGCTTAATCTATCTCACAAGGTTGTTGTTCTGAGGGTAAGATAGAGCTATTGGTGCTGCCTTGGGTTGCTCAGGAAAGGAAGGAAGGATGGTGGGATATAAATGTAATATTATTATTATTATTATAACATTTCTGTGCCATAATAATCATATAATAGATTAAATAAATAACTGATTTATTGTTTGAATATAAAGTAACTGCTCTCCTAGGTCAGAACTGAGGACCCTGCACCTTGTTGGAGAAGAGATTGAGTGTGTAGGACTTTCCCATACTTCTGGTTTGCTACACTAGTACAGAAGCTGAAGTTTGAAAAGCTGTACTCTCAGAAAGAAGCCTTTATGGTGTGTGATGCTTAACAAAAAGAAAGTGCTTGCAATTAATATTATCCATTGTGACCCCAAGCTTGGTATCCTCTGCCTTGAGAAATGTTATGGTCAGCATGTGTGAAGTACCATGAAATGTGCATTTGGAGTTGTGGGATCCCATACACACATGCCTCTGCAGAGAAAGTGAGCAAAAAGTGGCGAGGAGGCCTCCACTCGCCTCTTAAGGCCCCAGAGGCTGGATTGCTTTCTGGAATACACTAGGAGGGCTGGATGATGGCAGGGGTTGGATCCCTCCCTCCCAAGACCCTGCTACTTACTCCCCAAAGTGCCCCCCATGGGTGCCGGGAAAATTCTTTTCTTTGTGCACGGAAAGGCATGGAAAAGATTGCTTCATGCCTCTTTACTTGCAGAAAAAGGTAATGTCTTTCCCTTGTCCATGCTAGACAAGTGCAGCCCTGTACTAGTAAACAGGGAAAGGGCTTTTATTTAGATAGGAAGACCGGTCAGATGTTTTAGCGTATAATTCCCATCAGCTTCTATCAATACAGCCAGGCATACGGTGATGGGAATCATATCTAAAGGAATGCCTCTTCCCATATGTGCCCACTTGAACCCTAAAATTGTCGTCTCAGGTTATTCTTGGAGAGCCTCCTCTGAAGGAAGCGAAGAGGGTGGCTATGAGGAGAAGGGCCTTTTCAGTAGTGACACCCCAATTCTGGAACCAGCACTCAAAAAGGCACCCCAACTCTGGAACCCACACCCTTTTGGCCTCTCCATTCTTTTCGGTGCCAGGCAAAGACCTTTTTCTTTACCCAATATTTTAATAGTTGACATAATTTCAATGTGATTTTATATGGTATTTATTTTAATCCTATAGTGCTGTTGCTTTTGGTTTAAATTAATTGAAGTTACTGTTGGTTTTATTGTGGTTTTTTCCTGTGTTTTGTTTATACATTTAATACTATTGTTTATTGCGTTTATTATTATATTATTTTTGTAACCCACTCAGAGAGCCATTTTGGCTAATAGGCAGGATAGAAATTTAATAAATAAAAATAATAACGCAAGTATCTGGGTTGTCCCTGCAATTTCCTCTTCCAAATGGAAACACCACTTCAGGTGGTAAGATTAAAGAAACAGTCCGTTTATTCAGAGCCATGGGTTTTAAAAAGCAGATGGATAATCCTGGGCATTTTACACAGACATACATATCCTTAATGTCAAGTCAGCTTGCAGTTAAGCTATTTCCAGCAGCAGAAACTAGTCTAGACTTGCTGAGGTTTGCTGACAGCTAGGTCTAATACTGAAGTGAGTACTTGTTGCTCTCCACGACTTGTAGCCTGAAACTCCCATCAGTCCTAGTTAGCATAACCAGTGGTAAAGGATGATGGGAGTTTTAGGCCAAAGACATTGGGAGGACCAGAGGTTGAATCTGGGGGACCTGGTCGAATAGAACCAGTGCTTTCTGGTTTAGATCAAGCTGTTTTTCACTGATCCGTAGGACCAGCCAACCCTTACATAAAATATGGTAAACTGATACAATGTCCAGAACTTAATACTGAGGTGGAAATATGGGCTCACTAGTTAATCACTGCAGTTTTATACAGTTAAAGTAGTAAAATATCACTTATGATTTAAGCATTTAACAAGAGGAACTCCTGCAGTGAGTGCTTATCTAATGTTGAAATAATAATTGGCAGGCATTGTTTATTGCCTTAGGCTGCTCAGGTTAGTTTCTGTTGAGGTTGGGCAGTTAGTCGAGTAGAGTTGGAGGTTGTGACTGGAGGAATCTAAACTAATCTAGCATGA